AATAAACGTCCACGATGGAAATAGATGATACTGCTGATTCACAAGATCCCGAAAACGATCTCACAAATATAATTTACGACCACCTTCCGACTGCCGAAGCTGAAGTGCCAAGAGAAACCATCGCGCTTGGTGATGATAGTTATGACGAAGGAAGTGGCGAAAGTGAATATGAAGAAGAGGTAATTTTTGGAGAGGAGGTGGACAGGTCGTTTAAATCTTTTGACATGTCCTATTCTATCTTTTTTCTTCTCTAATAAAGGAATCATACATCGTCCTTGACTTGGGAACAGAGGTTACACTGGACATGATAACGACCAATGACAGCTTAGTGAAAAACATTTATAATCCTAGTACATATCATTTCACTTCATTTGCAGCCTCAAATTTTCCCGTGCGATCACCCGAAAAAGACAATGGTGAAGAAGGCAGTGGTACTCAGGACGGCGATAGTTCTTCGGCTAGGAAGGTTGCGGTAGGTGATGAGGGTGATGAGGGTGATGGAAACCAGCGATCCAAAAAGGAAGAGATAACATACTCATTGATCGTAAGTGGGACAATATGGATATGGGGTTAGAGGACATTGTTTGCATATTCCAACTTGACTTCCTCTATTTTTAATAGGGACTGGACACCGAAAATCCCAGGTTACGTATTGGTAACATGCATTTCAAAGGGGAATACGATGAGTCCGTCGGAACCGATCTGATCTTTTTGCAAGATCCCGGTATGTTTTGATATGACGTGCTTCTTCATGATAAATAGATTTGTATGTGAGCTTACGTGACAATCTTTGTTGGATAAAAGATCCTTCCAATCCCCGACAACAAATGCTTACATATGATTGTCATACCACCAAGAAAATTGTCTTTTCCAGGGTTTCACTGCAACCCACCAATAAATCAATGGATAAAGACGAATCTGACAAATTGGAAGATGAATATAGCTTCAAAGGCGGTGGGAATTATTGGGACGACATGTCAAATTCAAGTGCTATCGAAAAACAGTGTTCACAGGAGGCCGCTTCGGTTATCAGTCGAGAGGATGTTAACGACGGCCAGGAAAATCCGCGTGTTGACAAAGGGAAAGGAAAGGAGGTCGATCGAAGTGGGGTTGAGGAGGCGAATAATAGAATGCTGGTGGAGGAAACGAATTTTGATGATGTATATTAATGTGACGGTGGCTTTGAATCATCACGATTAGTCATATCCGTTCTAGGGAAAGAAAACCACCCTTATCCATGTGGTAAGAATAAAAAGGTCACATTTCAATACGTTTATTATTTCTGTTAGCTAGCTCGAGTGTTCAACTAGGAATATGCGCATGTAATTGGGCAAGCTTGTGATAAATCTTTGAATATCTGAGATGTTGCCACATAAAATTCATGTGAATGGACGAACCAACAACATAATTGAAAACTTCTACAAAACAACATTTCAATAGTGCATTTAAGTAACGATGTTGTATTTGTTCTACTGTTTGAACTCTTGCTGCCATATATCATAACACTTTCACTTTGAATCCATCGCCAAGCTTTCGAAATTTCCCGCCAATGATAAACTTGGTTTCGCTTTGTGTAAAATCCAAAGACCATCGCTTCTTGAATATTCAAAACCTTTGCGTATTATACAGTGTTTACACCATTTTAGCATATAAACAAGCAAATTAACTTCGAAAAAGTTAAGTGAAAAAAAAAAAAAAACCAAACACACAGGAACAATGGGAAACTACGCAAAATACCCTCATTAGTCTCGGTAATAAACAGAGTCAGTGTCATTAATGAGCAGTTACAAAGCGACTAGTACGTAGTGCTCTTGTCACGTTATACGCAGCTAAATTATTGCCAAGCAATTTAACCATTGTTTATGTTTACGCGTAAGTGAAGATCTTTTTTCAGAATAGAACCTTCAAAATACGTTTCATTTACAGGTGAGAAAAGGTCTTCTACAACTAGATCGAATTACTGTATATTACACATCTAAATCTACCGCAAATTCCAAAATAAAATCACTCGCACCGACTCCCTCGCCTATTTTCCTCGTTCAAGAAATGACTCAACCGAAAAACCCCTCTATTACTAATTTAATGGACAGCGCGTTTTCTTTTATGAACGACTCCTTCGTTATTCTCAAAATTCTGCTCGGATGAATCACCCTTCTTAGCATTCTTTATTTGCGATATCATTTTACGTCCAGGATACATAAAGAATGATGGTTGTTTGGATTCATTTCCCTTACCGGCGGGCTTAAAAATAGATTCAATGGCGTTGACGATAGGAGAACCTGCTTCACCTCTCATGTTAATAGAACACAATTCCAATTCGGTCCTCGTAATGGATGAACTGCTCAAAGTTTTCTTGTTCGAAGAAACCATGTTTGACCCTGATTCTCCATATTGCATATTACTATTTTGAGAATTCATGTTAAAAGTACTTGGGCCTGGAACTCCGTAAGGAAACTGGTTGCTCGATGAGGAATGATCACTTTGTCGAACAGTGGACGTGTCAGATGTATTTCTACTTGCTTTAATAAGGGATTCGGCCAATTTTTCCGCT